GCATGCCTGCAAGAGTGGGGTGCGGGCCAGAGGTGTGGGGGGTGAGAGGATCCACCAGAGACAGAGCGGGGAGCAGAACAGGCAGATGGACGGAGATTCACTGCTGAGGGAGCAGCGGGGAGACAGGAGAGGTCTGCCGCGCCCTGTGGTCACTCCCTGGCCGGGGATCGAGCTCAGGCCGCCGTGGCCGGCGACGGATTCACAGTGCTGAGAGTTAACCCCTGCAGCCAGGGAGGCCCGAGTCTCAGCCATTCTGAGCTCGGGCCGGGGCTGTCCTGGAAGCTGAGGCGACGGCAGTGGCCTTCCAGTGAGACGAGGGCGTCCCCTGGCCACCCACAGCTGGCCGGGAAAGGGGAGGTTCCTCGCATCCCGGCCCCCACTCATGGAAGTCGCCGTGGGGCCCTGGCCTCGTCCCATGGGGGAGCCGCTGGACACCGGTGCAGCTGAGCGCAGGCGCGAGGGTCCCGCCAGGTCCCGGCCTCGTATTCTTCAACTGCGACAGCCAGGAGGAGCCGAGATCCGTCTGTCCGCAGCCTGTGTCCCAGCACGCACGGGAGGCGGAGGGAAAGGTCTGAGTCCTGAGCAGCCCAAGCACGGGGCTCGCTGCACCTGAGCCTTGGCGTCTGTGTGAGGCCCCGGGCCCAGAAGGGTCAAACAGCCTCTGCACCAGCCTTTCCAGGGACATTCCAGCCACGGCCGGGGCAGGCTAGCCACGTGACTGGCTACAGAGGAAGTCAGGAGTCAGCGCAAGGGCCAGGCCCAGAGCGGAGCGGGTGTGCACCAGGCCCCGCAGGCCTCTGACCACGAGGCCCAGAGAGTGCCCTGGGCCCGCCCCTGTCCCCAACCCCGCGGGCGAGGAAGCAGCGGCCGGAGCCGCCAGCCAGGCTGGGAGCCGAGAGACGACGGGAACCGCTCGCCTGCCTCCAATCAGGACCCTTTACGGTTCCCACAGCAGCTCTTTAGTCTCCAAAAAGAAAGAGGCCACTTTGTCCCCAAAAGGCCAGCGCAGTGGGGGAGCCGGCCAGGGGAAGCTGGAGAGCGAGCGGGACGCTGAGCCTGCCTCCTTGCTGAGACCCAGCCTGGAATAAAAAACAGCAGCGTGCTATTTCTGCCCTGGGTTAAACATTCCTCAAAGCCACATTCCTCCCACCCTCCTCCTCCTCCCTGCCAGGGATTCCAGAGCGCAGTGGCCAGGACCAGCCGCCAGCTTCCCCGGCCACGGCGAGAGCGGGCGGGCCTGCCAGGACGCCCTGCAGCCTTCCGGCACCTGGCGGGGCGCTCCACCTCCCACAGAGCACCCAGGGCGGCACCCACCCCCAGAGAGCAGGACAGAGGGGACACCAGGCCCAGGGGTGGCCACGGGCACCCGGGCGGCGGCGGGAGCCAGGTAGCCGCTCGGGGCGACCCTGCCCTTGCGAGCACAGGTCAGGCACAAGGCGCGTCCCGCCCCGGCCAGCAGGGGGCCAGCGACAGACACACGCACACGCGCTCACGTCACGCCTGGAAAAGTTGCTCAAAGCCCAACCCTGAGGCTGCCCCAGGCCGACCGCTGCCGGGGGGCACGGCCGCCGGGTCTCAGGCCCTCCGGGCCCTCCACCGCTGCCCTGGGCCCGCGTCGCGGCCATGAGGGCACTCGCTCAGCGGGCAGGCGTCCAGGGCGTGCTCGGGCGCCCCGGCCCCGTGCCCTGGTGGGCGCCTCCTACTTCCAGCCCCCAGGAGCGGCCTGCGTGCCCCCGGGGCGCGCTCACCTGCTCAGCGGGATTCTGGGAAGTCGGCGCGGCACTGGGAGCCCGGCTCCCTGCTGGGAGCGGACGGGGCCAGAGTCGGCGTGGGCAGCGACCCAGTGCGTGCCCGACCAGCGCTCCCATCCTCTGCCACCTCCCACAGCCTCAGCTCTGCCTCCCCGGGAGACCACACTGGCCACCCGAGGCCCTGCCAGGGGACCGGACACCAGCGTTCACAGCTGGAAGGACCCACCCACCGCCCGCCCCACCTCACGTCCAGCCCAGGAACCCGGGACGCCTGGCCAGTGGTGGACCCTCTAGCCACTACTCAACTGCCCTAGTGAGGGGCACTCAGTACCTTCCAGGCAGGTGGTGGGTGTGCGGGAGGGCAGTGGCCGTGCAAAACAGAGCAGAGCCTGAGCCTGGCGGGCAGTGACCAGCTGGGAGGTCCAGGGCCCGCCCCCGAGCCTGCCCGGGGCGTCTCTGGTCATCTGTAAAACAGGCAGCAGACTCCACGCCCAGCGTGGGGGCTTGTCCTCCCGGGGGACTGCTGGCCCTGGGTAAGCAGGAGCTTACCCTGGTGCCGAGGACCCTGAGCCCGCCGGGGCAGGCCCGGGGCCCCGCACGAGGCAGCTGAGTCTCCGGGCGCGGGGGCACAGGGGCGTGCCATCAGGTCTGAGACCCCCAGACAGCCTGTGCCTCCACCCAGGTCCGTGCCCCGTGCCAGCTGCACTTAAGGTGCACAGGCCGTGCACACTCTCCCACTTCTGGGCCCCTCCGAAGGCCCCCCACTCCTGGGCTCCCCCACTCCTGGCCCTCACGCCCAGCACATGCCTCCTGGACAGGGCTAACTGCCACACAAGGCCCCACCCACCGCCCCTGGCACACGCTCCCGCTCTCACACCTCCCAGGGCGGCTGCCCCACTCACCCGCTGCCTCCAAGCCCCGTGGCCCTGTTTATGAACCAGGACCACAGGGCCACTGGGAGGAGCCGGTGATGGACACGCCTGAGCACTTGCTGGGTGGACCACACGCTCGTGGCGCAGGCCCCAAGAACTTCCCCGCGACCTCCCCCATCTGCCAGTCTGCCCGCTGACCAGAAGGGAAAGCTGAGCCACACGAGGGCCTGAGGCCCACCAGTGTCCAGCAGCAGCGAGGTGCCCAGGCAGGTGTCCCTCAGGCCCCCGAGGCCACTCCCACCCAGGACTCCAAATTCCAGAATCCCCAGAGGCACACCCTGCCCAGTGGGTCAGCCCGAGGGAGAATGACCCCACCAGCACAGCTCAGGCCGTCCACACGGCCACTCTCCCATGGCCAGCGGCAGGACAGCCACTGCTGTCCACCCCCATCTCCCACACGAGGCTCCCAGAGTTCGGAGCAGCCCGCCAGGTCACAGGTCCCACGGACGCCAAGAGCCACGGCCGGCCACTGCTGGGAATCCCAGGTTCAAGTGTCCAGGGAACTGGGCGCCTCATCTGCGCTTTCTCCGGCCTGGTAGGGACCCAGGCCGGTGTGCTCAGCCCCTCACCTCGTATCAACAACAGGAAAGAACCCCCTTTTACGGACTCGGGATCCCCCTTACCTGGGAGCTAGAGGTATCTAGGACAAGATGAGCCACAGCAGAAGAAACTCAGTGAAGAAAGGAAGGCAGACCCCGCTTGGTTGAGGGCCGGCCGGCCGGGGCCCAGCAGGAACAGCAGACCCCGCTCCCGCCAGGACCCACCAGGCCCGAGGGGCACACTGGCACTGACGTGCCCCGACGGGAGAGGAGGCCAGGGCCTCTGAAGCGTCCTCCGGCTCAGCGATCCCGGGACGCCATTAACAGAAATCAAAGAAATGGACGTTGCCTCAGGGCGTGCCTCTCCTGCCCGTGCAGCTCACAGCGATGTGGAAACAGCAACGCTCATGGCAGGTGCAGTCGCCGGCACTCGCTGCCCCTCTGCCGAGCGGGAACTGGGGCGTCCTTTCTGGAGAGCCGTGCGACCATCTTCCATCTCAAGCCTTTTAAGATGTTCTCAGTCTTTGATTCCATAACCTCATTTCGGGGAATTTAACTTCAAGAAGAGCTAGGCAAAGATTTAGTACAAAGATGCCGGTCACAAAACCACTTATTTTAGGAATAGGAACGACGGCCCAAGTGTCCGACGGCGGGGGGCTTCACACCCAGCCCACGGTGGGCCGCCGGCTGCGCCCGCCCGAGACTGTTTCGAAGCCCAGCTGGGGGCACGGCCGTTCCCAGCCGGCGGGTCGCAAAGTGTCAAGAAAAGCAGATCGCTCGCAATTGGCAAGGCAGGGAAAGCTGGCCAGAGCCCCCCGAGTCTCCCCTAAGTGCCTGTCCAGACTCCGTCCTCACCCCAGGTCATCACCATGATCACACCATGATCGCAGTACGGAAGCGTCTCCCAGCCGTATCTCACACCCCTCTTTCCACACACCCCCACCTCCACCAATGTGCAAATCCCGTGCCAGGGCCGAGGGGCCCGGGCTGGGAGGGGACGGGAGACAGGAGGCCAGCAGCTGCACCCCCGCTGCCCACGGTCTTCCCCTGGGGGACGCAGGCCTGGCCAGGCCCGAGGTTGCGGCGGGGGGGTGGTGGTGGCAGGGGCCGAGGAGGCAGAATGAGCCGGGACGACCAGGAGGGACTCAGCGGCGCCGTCCGCTCCAGGGACACCTGAGGGCCAGCTGCTGCCCCAGGGCTGGACAGCTCCGCCCCGCTACCTGCCCGCCCTAAGCCCTCCCTAACTCTGGCGCCCTGAGGTGCCCATTCTCCACAGCAGCACAGTGAAGCCCCGCGAGACAGGGCTGGCACCAGGGAGAGAAAGGCCCAGAAGCCCAGCACACCCGGCCCCCGAGCCTGGTTCCCTCCCGGGCACCCTGCTGCCCAACAGCCCAGCTCCCTTTCTGGCCAAAGCTCCGACCACAGGGCCCTGACCACGGCAGCCCGCGGGGTCGGGGGCACACGTCAGAGAGCAAGCGACTAGTTCAAGGTCACAGAGCCAGGAGGGGGCCCCGGGGCGCAGGGGTGAGCCTCAGCGCTATTAAGCTATCGCAGCCTCTGTGGCCTCAGCTGATCCCCAGGGCCCAGCAGACCTCTCCTGTCTCCCCGCTGCTCCCCTCAGCAGTGGGTTTCAGTGAGCGGATCAGCCTGTTCTGCTCCCCACTGTCTCTAGTGGCTCCTCTAACCCCCTGCACCTCTGGCCTGCACCCCAGTTCTTGTGTGCAGAAATAAAATAAATCTCAAAAAAAAAAAATGCAGCAGAGCCCGAGAGGACCGACCTGCTCCAGGACTGGCCCTCCACAGTGGCCCGCTGGCCCCGCGGAGCGTCAGGGCCAGCCGGACTCCCCCGGTGCTCGGTCCAGCGGGTCGCACAACAGGCCACCTGGGCCTTACCCTGCGGGGACACAGGGGTTGCAGAGGCCACCTCCCTGCCCCACCTCCCTCCTGGGTGGCCTAGCCCTGGCCTGGCCCTGGGGCCCTCTGTGCCCCAAGGCCTCATTTGTCCCCAGATGGGTACCTCCCCCAAGTCAGCATCTTGCCTCGCTCTGGCGGAGCAGAGACTCCTTATCCCAGGGGGCGGGGGAAAGCCAGAGCGGCCGGGGCACCCGGTGGGCACACCCCGCATCGCTCAGGCCCAGATCCTGACACCGACTGGGGACCCCGTCTCTGCCCTGGCCGCAGCGGGCTGTGAGCTGTGGCCACGCCGGTCTCCCGCTGTGCCCCTCCACGGCACACGCTCGGGCTGGGTCGTCCTGGGCGTCGGAAAAGGCCGAGGAGACTCAAGGTTGGCGTGAAGGTCAAGGCAGAGTCTGGACTGACCGAGAGCCCACAGGAGGGTGGCCGCCTCC